TATTTGGCAATAACCTAAACAGTAATTGATTTACATTTACTACTATATTTTTCTAGAACTATACGCACTATACGTATAGTACTGATCTGCCCATCTCTAGCTGCAAATGTTTGATATTAATTAATTAAAAGTTATCTTAATTAATGTGATTCACATATAATTAATATAATACCTATATCTCTTCAAAACCAATTTTTGCATTGTACAACAAATGAGATGTCGCAGACAACTCCTTTAATACCAATTCTGTTATCTCCCGGCCCTCTGTATAATTGATAAACAATAAACAATAATGAGTATAATGCATCATCATCATCATCAAAGAACTCGACAAATAACTCAGTAAAAAACACTCGCCCATTATGTTCATGCTCAATCCCTGCATCCCTTAATTTGTTTACAACTGCAACAGCTGGCAAAATAGTAAATTTTTTTAAAAAAGATTTTTATAAAATTATTTTGAAAAAAAAATTTTTTTTTAAATTATAATGGGAATTATATTTTTATACTACCCTTTTAAGAATAGGTTAATAAATTTTAAGAGTCTAATAAATTTCAAAATGATGTCATGAGAAAATTAATTTTGCCTATATAGTGTTAGCAGTCAGTGTGCAAATCCTTTCTCTTTTTTTTTAATTAGTGCGTATAACATTCACTTGGACACCAGAAGTTTCTTTTAACACTTATAACACATAATAATTATATAGGCGGGTTTGATCGAAGTAAGTGTTAGACAAGATCTATGAAGCTTGCAAAACGAATGTTTATCAATTATTCAATAATTATATAGGCGGGTTTGATCAAAATAAGTGTTAAAGACAATTTATACATTTTATATATTATTTTATAATAAGTATTTTACACATTATGTACATTATACACGGGATCAAAAACATACTATTACTAGAATCTTTTCAGTATTGGTACTAATAAGACTTACGATGAAATATATATATGTTAAAAAAAATGAAAATAAAAAAAAATATATACAAGAAATTTTTAAATCTATTAAGTCGACCAACGACTACATCTAATAAATCTATGCATTGAATCACGAACCGGAAACCGAAAACAACTCATTTAATATCGATTCCCTTGTCTCCCGGTTCTCTGGGTAATTGATAAACAATAAACAATCATTATCAAGAAGAACGTTCACATTAAATAATGTGGCCACGAAGAAGCTTTTCGTGTATCCTATTCGCCATAAATTCCAAGTGCCCAGGCATAACTCAGGAACATCGGAAACTGAGAAGAACCAAACCGTGGCCACGAAGAGCTTTCAATTCCCAGACATATTACACCTAATGGCAGCGTAACTTCTGATACGCAACAACTCGACAAAATAACTCGGTGAGAAACACACACCCTGTATGTTCGCGTTCAACCTTAGCTTCTTTCAACCTCCTAACAACTGAAAGTTCGAGTTTTTTTCCTTATCAAAGATCTGACAACGTAGTGAATTTCTTAAATGTATTTGTAAAAAAAAAAAAGGTAATTAATGTAATTCACATATATAATTGATATAATACCTATATCTCTTCCGATCCAATTCTCACATTGAATCACAAATGAGATCTTGCAAATGACTCCTCCCTTTGTCGACCGGTTCTCTGGATAATTGATAAACAATAAACAATAAACAAGAATGAGTATAATGCGTCATCATTATCAAGAACGTTCACATTAAATAATGTGGCCACGAAGAGCTTTCAATTCCCAGACATCTTACACCTAATGACAGCGTAACTTCGGATACACAATAACTCAACAAAATAACTCAGTGAGAAACACTCGCCCTGTATGTTCGTGTTCAACCTTAGCTTTTCTAAACCTCCTAACAACTGCAAGTTCGAGTTTTTTTTCTTCCTTAGCAAGACCCGACAACGTAGTGGATTTTTTAAATGCTTAAATGCATGTGTAAAAAAAAAAAGGTTAACTTAATTAATTAATTAATTAATGTGATTCACATATATAATTGATATAATACCTATATATCTTCAGATCCAATTCTTACATTAAATATCGATCCCTTTATCGACCGGTTCTCTGGATAATTGATTAACGATAAACTAGAATGAGTATAATGCGTCATCATTATCAAAGAACCAAGAAGAACGTTCACATTAAATAAATAATGTGGCCACGAAGAGCTTTTCATTCATAGTTCGTGTATCCTATTCACCATAAATCCCGGTGCCTAGGCATAACTCGTGACCTTCGGAAACTGGAAAGAACGTTCACGGCCAAAAAACCGTGGCCACGAAGAGCTTTCAATTCCCAGACATTTTACACCTAGTGGCAGCGTAACTTCAGATACACAACAACTCAACAAAATAACTCAGTGAGAAACAATGCTCACCCTGTATGTTCGTGTTCAATATCAGCATCCCTTAATTTCTTGACGACAGCAATTTCGAGTTTTCTTCCTTAGCAAGACCCGACAACGTAGTGGATTTTTTAAATGCTTAAATGCGTTGTAAAAAAAAAAGTTTAACTTAATTAATTAATTAATTAATTAATGTGATTCACATATATAATTGATATAATACCTATATATCTTCGGATCCAATCCTTATATTGAATATCGATCCCTTTGTCGACCGGTCCCTGGATAATTTGATAAAAAATAAACAATAAACAAGAATGAGTATAATGCGTCATCATTATCAAAGAACCAAGAAGAACGTTCACATTAAATAAATAATGTGGCCACGAAGAGCTTTTCATTCATAGTTCGTGTATCCTATTCACCATAAATCCCGGTGCCTAGGCATAACTCGTGACCTTCGGAAACTGGAAAGAACGTTCACGGCCAAAAAACCGTGGCCACGAAGAGCTTTCAATTCCCAGACATTTTACACCTAGTGGCAGCGTAACTTCAGATACACAACAACTCAACAAAATAACTCAGTGAGAAACAATGCTCACCCTGAATGTTCGTGTTCAATATCAGCCTTCCTTAATTTCTTGACGACAGAATTTCGAGTTTTCTTCCTTGACAACGTAGTGAATTTTCTAAATGCATGTGTAAAAAAAACTTAATTAATTAATGTGATTCACATATGGGTCTGTACTAGGAAAATCGACCTTCCAGACAAAAAATCTATTTTTGGTAACAACCCTTATAAATTTGGTTACACATATGTTTTTAATATACAAAGAAAATATTACAAGCCTTGTATCTCATTTTTCTACTATGCAAATAGGGTCCAATTTTTTCACCAATTGTAAATCCTTTATTAGAGATTATTATTGAGTAAAAAGACAAAAAAAAAAAAAATAGCTGGAAGCTTGATTTTCCTAGTACAGACCCCATATATAATTGATATACTACCTATATATCTTCGGATACAATTCTTACCTTGAATATCGATCCCTTTGTCGACCGGTCCCCTGGATAGTTTGATAAAAAATAAACAATAAACAATAATGAGTATAATGCGTCGTCATTATCAAAGAACGTTCACATTAAATAATGTGGCCACGAAGAAGCTTTTCATTAATAATTCGTGTATCCTATTCACCATAAATTCCCAGTGCCTAGGCATAACTCGGGAACATCAGAAGCTGAGAAGAACCAAACCGTGGCCACGAAGAGCTTTCAATTCCCAGACATTTTACACCTAGTGGGAGCGTAACTTCGGATACGTAATAATAACTCAGTGAGAAACACACACCCTGTGTGTACATGTATCCCTTGATCTCCTAGCTCAAGTTGTTTCCCTTTGGCTACGGAAGATGTCATTTTTTTTATAATTATTAAGGATTTTATAAATGTATTAAAAAAAAAAGATTTTCAGAAAAAAAAATGATCATTTTTTTTAAAATAATCACATCTTACATTTATAATCGATTGAAAATGTACCTAGAATTAGAATGTTTCTATTACAATATGCGAATAACTTTAACATCTTTTTTGTCAACACAATGTCATATACTA